ACCAAACAATGGTGTAGCTGTATTAAAGTCTGAGTGGAAACAGTCCTGAGTAAATCTGATTTTGTCAGAAATCGGAGAAATGCGGGAGAAATATGACCCCGGGAGAGGGCAATGAAATCGGGAGTCTCCCGCGAAAATCGAGAGGGTTGGCAAGTATGCCCGGAGTTGGGGACTGGCTTCAGTAGATGCTGCTAGAACGCCAACACCTCCTCATCTCCACCCCTCCCATGTTTTCTTTTGTGTTGCCATAAGTTAGTCTCTCTCCGTTGGTGCGCGGGGCTAATGCTAATAATGCTAATGCCAGCAAATACAATGGCAGATTCACAAAACTTTTTAGAATTTTACGGGGCGTGGTTTGCAATTCGCCCAGCCAATCGAAATTGGTACTTTTTTCTCCCCAGCATAGTCCCACCTCTCTAGCAGGCACTACATGGGGTAAAGGTTCTCGGAACTAAGTTCTCTTTTTGGTGTGAACACAAAATTCCAGGCACTAACGGAACTAAACGGGAAAACTATGGGTAAAAGTACTCCGGTGTGAACGCGCCTATCCAATGGCCCGGTTTGATGTCATATCTGATCTAAAATACCCATAAAATACATATTGCGCTCTTAAAGGACCATATAATTTACTCCAAATAATATCAAAGCTAGCCATATTGCAGGGTTTTCAAATAGTGAAGTATTTTCCCAACACTCTGGACATCTATTGGTTTTTCCCAGCAGGGGATTGAGAAACAGAGTACACAGACATGCAGTGAAGCCTACCTGTCACAGACTGACAGCATGTTGTTAGTGCTACTGAAGAGTAAGGACCACACAAGAAGCTAACAGCGCCTGAGTGACATCTGCAGGAACGTTTACATGCTGTTTAATGTGCTGCAACTGAGCAGCTAATTAGCTATAGCCTGCAAACAGATGTAAGAAGTGCACCTTTTCCCCAGTGTGTGTGTTGGCTAATTCATTCAACAAGAAGGACAAGACGTTGGTTCATGTTGTAACGTAGATAAGAAGGAAGCTTATGTTGGAGCAGGACTCTGCGTAATTGTTAGTCAGTGTGAGTGCCTGCTTAATGTGTGATTGAATTACGCTAATAGGATTTTAAATGATTTGATTTGCTGTATGAAAACAAGTTGTCTAACAGTATAGACATACACTAATGAAAAGCTAAGAGTACACGAATGAAACTGAAATATTAAATTGAATTTTTCTACAGCACGGTCACATGACTTCACGTCACCACCGCTATGCTGAAGGCAGGCTGGCTAATGTTGGGCTATAAAGGAACTACAGTACGGTCACATGACTTCACGTCACCACCGCTAAGCTAAAGGAGGCTAATGTTGGTCTATAAAGGAACTACAGCACGGTCACATGACTTCACGTCACCACCGCTATGCTAAAGGAGGCTAATGTTGGGCTATAAAGGAACTACAGCACGGTGTCACATGACTTCACGTCCACCACCGCTAATGCTAAAGGAGGCTAAGGTTGGGCTAATAAAGGACCTACAGCACGGTCACATGACTTCACGTCACCACCGCTAAGCTAAAGGAGGCTAATGTGGGCTATAAAGGAACTACAGCACAGTCACATGACTTCACGTCACCACCGCTAAGCTAAAGGTGGCTAATGTTGGGCTATAAAGGAACTACAGCACGGTCACATGACTTCACGCCACCACCGCTAAGCTAAAGGAGGCTAATGCTGGGCTATAAAGGAACTAGAGCGCGGTCACATGACTTCACGTCACCACCGCTAAGTTAAAGGAGGCTAATGCTGGGCTATAAAGGAACTACAGCACGGTCACATGACTTCACGTCACCACCGCTAAGCTAAAGGCGGCTAAGGTTGGTTGTGATGACGTTTAGTCGTCTCATTTAGACACTTGTTAGCAACCGCTGTTTTTAAATCCTCCAGTGGGGTATTTACTGACGTATTTATATCCTTTTTTTCATCTAGCAGGTGAAAAGGATCAGCTGGTGATGGAGCACGTCTGCTTTCACTCTCCCTATCAAAATGACAAGTGCAGTGCAGAGGGGAAAGTCAAAAATGGGAGTGTTGTGTGTCCGTGTGATGTCATTATCAATTCAAAATATCATCCATCAATCCTCTGCTTTGTCTGACACACACACATACACACACACACACACACACACACACACAACGACACACACAATTAGAAACAAGCTGTATCTGTGGCAGCATCTGGTCAATATAATGTACACATTATTGAACTGCTGTTCACAATGAATGTATTCCTTCTCTGTAACTTCTCCCCCACTCTCTTTCACGTTCACATATGTCACAAGACCTTAAGCATTATAATGAATTATTATGAATGCACACACACACACACACACACACACACACACACACACACACCACACACACACACACGCACACACACACACACACACACACACACACACACACACACACACCACACACACACACACACACACACACACACACTGAATGGACACCCGGAGTATGGCTAATGGATTGCATCTTGTGGGTACCATCACAGGCAGAGGCATGTGTGATAAATGGCTATTTACTGAACATGACAGGCCTAATATCTTAGAGTTGTACTAATACTGCTGCACACAGACACACACTCACACTCACACACTCACACACACACACACACACACACAACACACACACACACACACCACACACACACACACACATACATACATAGGCTCTTAAATGCATCAGAAACACACCCCTGGTGATACATGGCGCCTTGTCAGTTGTTAGGCGTTTCCCATACATCTTTCCTACAACAGACAATATCTTATTCACTTTTAGCGGGGGTTCTCAACATGGGTTCTAGGGACCTTTAGGGGTCCTGCAGATGGCACAGAACGTTCCATTAAATCAATGAACCAGAAGATCTTCACACAGTAACTTATCGTTGCTTTTCATTCACTTTTTTTTTAAAGTAAATTATGCAAATTAAATGGTGCACTCTAACTTTTCGAGCAAATTATTTTCCATTTTAGAGAAAATCTATTCATTCTTCTAGTTTGTCTTTCAAAGCCCCAAAATATATATATAATCAGGGCCGTCCCTGGCCAACTTGAGGCCCCACGCAGCGGCGAAACTGTGCCGCGCCACACTAATTGCGCCGCATAAGCGCATAGGTGCGCCGCATTTTCGGCTCAGTTGAGGCTCCCTCCGCAAGTTGAGGCCCCCTCCGCAAGGTGAGGCCCCCTCCGCAAGGTGAGGCCCCACGCAGCATGATCGGCCTGTAGGGAGGGACGGCCCTGTATATAATTGCAGAGTTATAGGTGTGTGCGCCAACATGGTCCTGGCAATAACTGGAGAAAAGGCTTAAAAGCATCATTAGAATTGCAAAACACTCCACGATGTTCACTGGGTTTTAGTTTGATGATTACTTTATCTGGTGTTTGATGTTTTCTATTAAGTTTTCTCAGGTTTCATAAAAAACAAAGTAAATCTGACGGCTCATTTAAAAAAATGCTTGCCAACATTTTGTGCTGTTAATTACACATTAGAGACAGCAAGAGGAAGCAAGACATACAACCAAAACTGTTTTTTTGGCGTCCATAATGTACATTGTTGTTAATATGTCGTATATGAATATATCGGTTCGAGGAACACTGAGAAGTCACCTGACACCGCTGAAGGTCAACGGTCTGAGGATAGATCTGGATTTATGAAGAGGGAACATGCAGAAAAGGACTTGATGGACCTTTCCCTTGCTTCTCTAACCTCTAATATGAAATCCCCAGAGAGGATCCACGGATAATCAATAAGCGGAGGCCTCTGATGGTTCAGGTTCACATCACTGTTGGGGAGATTTGGCACAAAGTACACTAGAAGAAGGTCTAATGGAGAATCAGCTGCTCAATATATAACGGGTCGTACGTAGAGGTAGCACTAGATCCTGCTCTCTGCAAATGAAAGATATTCATGTACCAGCTTTACTCAATAATCACCACATCATTTTGAAAATAGAGACACATCAACACGTTAACATTTCACCCACAGACTAAGAAAACCGTCCGATTTCTTGCTAGCGAGACGTACAGTTAACTCAACTACGTTCAACATCTTCGAGAAAAAAGAGTGGCAAATCCGAACGAGGGCACTTAAAAAGACCATGAAAGATAGCCTTTAATATTCATTGTCAGTATTATCTACCGTTTAATCGATGTTAACAAATAACATGTCACCTTCTGGTCTTCAATGAGAAAACGTAACCTTTAATATGCAACTCCAGCAGTTTGCACATTAAACTGATGCATTTAGCTACAGATTTTCCACAAAACGTACCACACAAATATGGACATTTTACTCCAAAGTATCGTGAAATAACGTCTAATTTCTGGATGTAGTAATTATAAAGCTTTGGCTAAATGAAAGCTAATGTACATTTGGAGTTGGTTTATTCATGGTTGATTGCACTTATTGTGATTTAGTTAAACGCATCAGCTAAATGAAATGTAATATAATATTGTACTGAATGTAACCATCACTTTCCAGGCATCCTTTACAACTTAACATACATTCAAACTCTTCTCTTTCTCCTCCTGCACGGCGAGATGATATTTGGTGGTAGCCAGAAATAAGGGCTTACCAGGGGAACTACTTTTATCTCCTCTCAGGCCAGTTACGTCACCTGAAAGCCCCCTATAAATGGGTTTATTATCCCCTAATCAAAGAGCCTGCCCCTGAAGCGTGGGAGTGGGAGTCCCCCCCCCTCTACAAACCCCTAGAGCCTTATCACCAGCCGCCAGAGGCTGCAGTAGAGGACTACGCCTTATGTTTGGACACACAGCTCAAGGGTCCTATAAAGTACGGACCAGGAGACACTTCTTAGGTTTGTACCAGGGTAATCCCCCTCTGTGGGGGCATTAACACATGTTTAAGTAGTGTGTATGGGAGAAACACACACATCTGCAACACTAAAAAAACACATTTTTATGAGCACAATGAGCTCTTTATTTCTACTTTATGACTAAAACAGAAGTTCGAATCAAGGAACAAGACCCCTCTTTGCTCTGTCAAACACACACACACACACACACACACACACACACACACACACACACACACACACACACACACACACACACACACACACAGGTATAAGGCGCTGGCAGCTTGTAACTCCATTACCCTAAATGTCTCCTCAAACTCTTTGGATTGAGTTATATGCCAAACTATGATACAGAAATGTGATTGTTTAACACTATTAAATATACAGATTTACAGAAGTTCTTTCTGATGAAGTATACTTGACACATGGTATTTGCTTCAAATAAGAGCACCTTTTCTGGGTTGTGGCATATGCCGGATGAAAGATTATTGTCTAAATGTGTGTAATTTCTTCAGTTGCGTCCTATGAGGTGCATTAGCTTAACCAAAAGTGTACATTGTTTAATAGATTTTTGACGGTGTTCTGAACATGGGAAGAAAGCGCGTCTCTATCTTTGGACAAGCAGATAAGGTAGCGATGTGCAAGACAGACTGCAGTGATTTCAAACTTTTGGGGCGATGCAACAACTCGTGAATGTGCGTAAAGACGCAGACGTGGATTCTGCAAGGTGTGCAAAAAAGGTAAAAGAAGGTAAGAATTGTTAAATAAATCTTTTGCACATGTTTTAAACCCATTATATTGTGTTTTTCCTTATCATGAATTCCAATGGCAATTACATTAAGACATGTCTGGCAAACCATTACACAATGCAAACAAGCTACGTGTAAACGGTAACGTAAAGTGATAAATAACACGAATGAACAGTTATTTAGAGAAAACAAGTATACGGCTACTATTAGCCATAGTTCATTTATGTAATTTCCACATCGACAGACATCCAATGTAATCTATTTGTCTTGTTTACAGCTGGGCGACAGGCGCATCTTATTTACTTCCAAAACTTCTAGACCTCTTTACTGGCATCGTAAATAAAATACTGATTACCTAGACACCATGTGCGTAAAAACCCTACGTGTCAGCTCCTGAGACGTGATTTCCAACTTAATCTGCGGCAGATTTCCTTCAAACCAGACCTCCATATTGATAAAACAACACATAGATGGATTTACCCTAGGAGATCCCTAAATTATCCCTGCTATAGTGTTCTGCTCTGTCTAAATGAAACACCAGCTCCAGCCTCAGAGGTGTGGAGAGCCCAGAGCGATGGGAACTTGACAAAAAAGACCTTACCTGTAGCGAGTAAATCAAAAATCCAGCGTTGGGAAACAAAGTGGCTTCGTTGTGAGTGTGCAGGCTGAAAATAGAGAGGAGATCCAGTCCACTGAAGGACCGACAGATTATCCTGTTCCTCTCCGGAGAAAAGCTCTCACCGTCCGGGCTCCGCACCGCGATCTGCCCGCTGCAGCGCACTGCCTCCGGGGTGAGGAGAGAGAGGGAGGGAGGGGACACTCACACACACACACACACACACACACACACACACACACACACACCCACACACACACACACACACACACACACACCACACACACCACACACACACACACACACACACACACAACACACACACCACACACACACACACACACACACACACACACACACACCTAAACAGATGTTAATCCTTGTCCACTGGCTGCTTTATTATTCTCTTTCTTCAGTTTTGCATAATTGGTATGAGTGAGTGATAATGAAGCCAAATGCACATTCTAGATGACTTTCAATCTCTTTTTGGGAGAGAATCCTCGTACTTTACTCGGTATTCCTGCAAGTTATGTTCAGTTTTTGGAAGACAAATGACACAAGTCACATTTTAATCCACATTAAAAGGAGATACACGTTATCTTAAAGCTCATAATGGAAGAAAACCCTGCTAACTTCTGATAGCGATTCAACATGCTACCCAGAGCCTTCTTTACCTCTCAGCTTTACAGTATGTCTCTTAATAATGTTGAGAAGTGAATAAATAAAGATGGAGATTTGAATTTATACAATCCCAGCGGCTCGACGCATTCCCAAATGAACGAGCCTGCTCCTGATTGATAGGCTGCAACATTTGATCAAATCACAAAGTCAATTTTAATAAATCTTCACCTGCTAAACACCAGCGACTCAAACATGAATCTGCATGAAGTCTGAGAGTCACCAACAAACAACAAAGGAATCCCTCCTAAAGGTCGACTAAGTATTATTATGCAAATCTGCTGAGTAACTAACTGACCATGACATTAACCCGACTGAAGAGAGCAAGACCAAACACATATTATTGTTGACCTTTTGTTGAAGGTGACCATTTGTGAAATAGCACTTGATTGCCAGGGTCACGAGCTTTAAGAAAATGTCAGATAACAATACAAGAAACAGACAGGCTACGTGCGGTGGTTCAGTTTGCAAAGAAGAGGTCGCAGACATTAAAGCAACATCTAAGTTTATATCTGAGAACCTGTGGGAAAGGAACAGTTGGCAACAGGCTATATCAAAAGGCTATATGGCAGTTTGAAAATACAGGGAGAAAAGAGGAAGACAATTGCTTCCAAAACAGACACTGTGAATAAGAAATGGACAAAAGTATAGTAAACAAACTCTGGTGCCGACCACGTCAACAGGTCCGAGAACAAGACCTGTGTTTACCAATTACACAAAGTGCAAAACGTAGCATAATGTAGTGTCAATTGTGTTACGTTTTGTCATGTTCGTGTTCATGTTAGTTTATGTTCCACTTCCTGTTTTATTTTGTACTCGTCTCATTCCAGGTCCCTTTACTTCCTGCTCTGGTTCCTTTTCCCGCCATCGTCAGCGTCTGCCCCGCCCCTGATTGTTTCCACCTGTGCCCACTTACCTCATGTATATATTGTCCTGTCTCCCCTTGTTAGTTGTCGGTTCGTCTTGTTCATTGTCCCAAGAAGCCAGATCCAAGCCATGAGACTGCTTTACTTTTGTCAGTTTGTTATTTCCTCTAAAAGAGTGATTTTGTTTTTTGCAAGTAAAGATTATTTTTCTTCAAACCTTTTTTGTCTCTGGGTTGTGCATTTGAGTCCTCCAAGCTATTAAGTCAAGGTTCCTAACACATAAAGTGCACTACGGAACAAAATGAGAATCAAAGACAGCTGAAGTATCTATCTCACTCAGATTCTGATAAGCCAAACTGACTAGCTCGTTAAAGGGCTCTTTAAAAGGTAAACAATGGATGTATTAGACATGTCCATGTTTTTCCGGCACTCTGTTGGGACGTTTATGTTTAATTAGAAAGCACAGACTCAGATAAGGATTCACATCACATATTAAAGTCCTCATATGGATGAGATGTCCTCGGCTAATTCACATTTACAGTAGTTTGCAGTCATTTGATCCCACTTTGAAATGACCCGGAAGGACCTTTGGAGCAGCCAGGATAAGAGCTTCTTGAGTTCTGTATATGATAGGAAAGGAGCTTCAATGCTTCCTTTATCATCACCTTTATCTAAGGATACACAGAACCATCCTTTACCAAAGGAAAGGAGATAATGGTGTCCCACAACGTGACGAAACGGAAACAACCGATCTTGACCGACAAATATCCTCTGAAGAACTTTGCTTATTAAGCATTTTACAGCTAATGCCAAAGCGCTTATTTGTTTTGAACTTTCAACAATATGTTAAACTAACCCTACGAACACACGGGCGAAGATGCTTTTAGTCTACAGAAAATTGCAGTTTCACGACTAGACTCAATAACGTCCTCCATCTCATCATAATAACCAATACAGTCTCTTTCCGTCCAGATGAACTCTCCTTCACGTCTTTCCTCAACCCCAGGACGTTTTTCACTGAGATTGAGGGGAAATGGTGAGGAAATGACAGAACACCTAATTTATTTTGACGATTTCGACCGCTACCCATTCTGCTCTCAGGTATAACAACAGTGAGGGAAACAAGGCACACTGGCCTATAATCCGGCTCAGTGAAGCTCTGGATTTGGGTTCAGCTGTCAGCTCTGCACTGAAGCAGGACACTTGGCAAAAAATGATTCCACAACACTCACTGCCTTCACACCCAGAATTACAACGAGAAACCCCGGCAGACAGAAGTGGGAAGTAGTGGAGTACAAATACTTTGTTACTGTACTTAAGTACATGTTTCTGGTATCAGTACTTTACTCCACTACTTATTTTTCTGACCACTTTTTACTTTGACTTTCTACATGTTGAACACAAATACCTGTACTTTCTACTTCTTACATGTTGAACCCAACTACCTGTACTTTCTACTTCTTCATGTTGAACCACAAATACCTGTACTTTCTACTTCTTACATGTTGAACACCAAATTACCTGTACTTTCTACTTCTTACATGTTGAAACACAAATACCTGTACTTCTACTTCTTACATGTTGAACACAAATACCTGTACTTTCTACTTCTTACATGTTTGAACACCAAATACCTGTACTTTCTACTTCTTACATTTTTGAAAACAAATACCTGTACTTTCTACTTCTTACATGTTGAACACAAATACCTGTACTTCTATTCTTACATGTTGAACACAAATACCTGTACTTTCTACTTCTACATGTTGAACACAAATACCTGTACTTTTCTACTTCTTACATGTTGAACCCAAATACCTGTACTTTCTACTTCTTACATGTTGAACACAATTACCTGTACCTGTCTTCTACTTCTTACATGTTGAACCACAAATACCTGTACTTTCTACTTCTTACATGTTGAACACAAATACCTGTACTTTCTACTTCTTACATGTTGAACACAAATACCTGTACTTTCTACTTCTTACATGTTGAACACAAATACCTGTACTTTCTACTTCTCACATGTTGAACACAAATACCTGTACTTTCTACTTCTTACATGTTGAACACAAATACCTGTACTTTCTACTTCTTACATGTTTGAACACAAATACCTGTACTTTCTACTTCTTCATGTTGAACACAAATACCTGTACTTTCTACTTCTTACATGTTGAACACAAATACCTGTAACTTTCACTACTTATTATCATGTTGAAACACAAATACCTGTACTTTCTACTTCTTTCATGTTGAACACAAATACCTGAACTTTCTACTTCTTACATGTTGAACACATATACCTGTACTTTCTACTTCTTACATGTTGAAACACAAATACCTGATACTTCTATCTTCTTTACATGTTGAACACAAATACCTGTACTTTCTACTTCTTACATGTTGAACACAAATACCTGTACTTTCTACTTCTTTCATGTTGAACACAAATACCTGTACTTTCTACTTCTTTCATGTTGAACACAAATACCTGTACTTTCTACTTCTTACATGTTGAACACAAATACCTGTACTTCTACTTCTTACATGTTGAACACAAATACCTGTACTTTCTACTTCTTACATGTTGAACACAAATACCTGTACTTTCTACTTCTTACATGTTGAACACCAATACCTGTACTTTCTACTTCTTACATGTTGAACACAAATACCTGTACTTTTCTACTTCTTACATGTTGAACACAATACCTGTACTTTCTACTTCTTACATGTTGAACACAAATACCTGTACTTTCTACTTCTTACATGTTGAACACAATACCTGTACTTTCTACTTCTACATGTTGAACATCAAATACCTGTACTTTCTACTTCTTACATGTTGAACACAAATACCTGTACTTTCTACTTCTTACATGTTGAACTCAATACCTGTACTTTCTACTTCTTTACATGTTGAACTCAAATACCTGTACTTTCTACTTCTTACATGTTGAACTCAAATACCTGTACTTTCTACTTCTTACATGTTGAACCCAAATACCTGTACTTTCTACTTCTAACATGTTGAACTCAAATACCTGTACTTTCTACTTCTTACATGTTGAACACAAATACCTGTACTTTCTACTTCTTACATGTTGAACTCAAATACCTGTACTTTCTACTTCTTAATGTTTGAACCCAAATACCTGTACTTTCTACTTCTAACATGTTGAACTCAAATACCTGTACTTTCTACTTCTTACATGTTGAACACAAATACCTGTACTTTCTACTTCTTTACATGTTTGAACTCAAATACCTGTACTTCTACTTCTTACATGTTGAACCCAAATACCTGTACTTTTTACTTTTTACATGTTGAACACAAATACCTGTACTTTCTACTTCTTACATGTTGAACACAAATACCTGTACTTTTTACTTCTTACATGTTGAACACAAATACCTGTACTTTCTACTTCTTACATGTTGAACACAAATACCTGTACTTTCTACTTCTTACATGTTGAACACAAATACCTGTACTTTCTACTTCTTACATGTTGAACTCAAATACCTGTACTTTCTACTTCTTACATGTTGAACACAAATACCTGTACTTTCTACTTCTTACATGTTGAACAC